CGCGTTGATCGCGGGGAAGATCTTCCGTCTTTCGGAAGAGGAAAGCGGAGGGGATGATGATGATGAATAATATTACTATGTCGGAGTACTCATGAAGGAAGGATGACCGGGGTAAAGGAAGAACTCACCTGCTTGACACTCACTCACTCACTGACCTGCCCGGGATTCTACGGAGGCCTCTAGAACGGAAACACCCTTCTAGACTATGGGGTAAGTGAGTTGTCGCGCCATGATCAGCGCCAGTTTGATTCAATAGTGTGTTGGGGCATCATGCAGAGCGGATGTGAGGAGACCGCCCTCTTCTTTTCTCTTTCCCTTGACCTCCCGCCGATATCCGTGGCAGCTCGTAATAATACTTTCTGCCTGGAAAAGTACAGCCACCACCACCACTACCACCGTGCCACATCGGGAGGGAGACACTACACACCCTTTGTTGTGGAAAGTGTGGTGCGATGTCAGGCTGGCTGGCCAGAATCTGCGGGAATAATCCGACCGCCAATAACAGTGAGTATTCCCGTGAATAATGATAGTAGTAATAATAATGTCGTCTTAAGACACATACATATTATCTAGTTAATAAATACGGGACGTACGTGGCTCCGGCTAGTTGGGGTAGTTTACGTACCAGGCAGCGGTACCTGCGTGCCAACCTCCGTCTTCTCTTTCCCCATTTGTCCCACCCTCCCAAGCCTGGAGATGGTGGGGTGATTTGCTGGGCGCCCCTTCCTTGGGTATCACACACCGGCAAAGTGCCGGCAATCAGTCCGGCATCAGGTGCTCAGCAGACCTGCTTTTATTATTCCATCCCCCACCCCACACACAAGAATTTCGTGTGATGCATCCTTTCTCTCGTAAATGATAGAGATAAGGCAGGATCGATGGCAGAGATGAGGGGGTGTGGTGAGTCGGGTGGTGTATGGTGTAGAATGTAGTAGCTTAGCAGGTAGATAGATAGTGACGGCCGGATTCCCCTCCATGTCTCAGGCGGAGAACATGTCCATGCCACCACCACCACCACCTCTTGGTATCTGCACCTGGTGAATGAATCTGTACTTTTGTCGCCTTATCTGAGGAATCTTATTAGCCATTGCCCCTCCTTTCATATCTTGGGATCCGCCATGTCGCGACGCCTTCCTCTCTGGTCCCGGGAACTCTCCAGGCCACGAACGAACCATCCAAGGTCACGATCCGACATCCGCTGATCGCAGACGGCCGTCAGCCGAGTCTAGCCTATCAGAGCTGGCAGCAGAACCACGATATCGCCCAGTGGGGGTTTTCATCCGTCGGATTCCCTCCCTCCTCCCCTTCTCCCTGCCCGGGTGTGAAGATAACATCAACGGCACCCCAAGATTCGCAGGTGATAACAATGGAAGTAGTGGCCCTTAATGTGGCATGTGTTACCTCCAGCCGACGATATGACCTTCTGCATCCTGTCCGATGACAATTACCAGGGGGAAACCCTTGATATCATGGTATTGACGTACTGGATCTAGTCCCCGGTCGGCGCGGACCCCTCGGGGTTGGACTATCTGTGATCTACCACTAAGGAAACTGTTCAGACGGCTTGATGCATGTCTCCCGCTTCCTTAGATTGTCGTCCTGACAGTGAATAATTCCTACTTTGGTACCACACACACCGTCTCGTTGAGGAGGTTCTATCGGATTAAAAAAAAGACATTCCTAGAATCCAGGAGGAAAAACAAATAGATAGGAAATGAGATATATATTTATCACAATAGATAAAAATGAAGGGTAAAAAGTACTAAACATGACTGTTCTCTCTCTCTCTCTCTCTCTAGGGGAGTGGAAAGGAAGGTGACAGCGTAAAAGGCCATCCGGGAGAGTCCTTGGCTGGCTGGACTTACCGAGACCGTATCTTTCTTTATCCCGATGATGCCTGGACTCTGGACCGGCTAGCACCTTGCAATTCAGCGAACAATGTTAATATACCGACTCCGCACTCGGTGGCGAATCTCCGCATGGAGATTTCCCCATCCGAGGTCCCCGAGGGCGACAATTGAGGAACTACTAGATAGCTGCTAACATAAACATGGGGATGTGAGCATTTGTCTGGGGGAATAATACATTCCGGGCGCAGGCAGCTGGGTGGACCTGGGGATTGCGGAGTTCGATTTCCGAGCTTGGCCTCCTACTAGATACCCTCTCAAGTCTCAAGTCTCAAGTCTCACCCCCCCCCTTTCGCTTTGACGGAGACGTGGGTGCTTGGTACCGATGAAACGACGCAGGGTGGCGCGTCCACTGCTGATGTGGTGAAGATATTAAGCGCTAGTCCAGGGGTTGCGGGCGAGGATGATTCCTCTCAGCTCTCACTAATGCTGCCTTGCCCTAAACCTAGCAACCCCCGGTTAAATAGCAATCGCTTCGGGCTGACGGATTTAAATGCCGATATTATGCGATGGTTGTTCGAGTCTCGATTTGTCGTGAGGTATTATTGTATGCAGACACCATACCGACTCTACGTTAGTCAGTAGCCTGGCCCCCAGCGATGCCTTTCAACATCCTTTGAGTTGGGGGCACGGTCGAGTCATCGCCGTGTTGGGCCCATAGATAGGCTTTGTTGTCCGGGGGCAGCTGAGTTTCGCCTTGTCTTGCGCCGTGCGTGCCTCGAGGGCGCTGATGCAGGGCCAATGATTTGGTCTGAGTCATGAGGCTGATGCAATGCTGTCTCCCCCACAGTCAGCCTTTGCGCATTGGATGCCATCCCGGCTCATTTTCGTGAGCTCCAGTCCATCCACTGGGTGCCGCCGGCAGCCTCAGATTAGTATTTGGTATTTACTATTTACAAAGTCGTTGAACACTCCTCCAGCCTCATGAATGGATGATGCTGGCGATGATGTATTGGATCTCGGCCATCGTATGACTCTCTCTGCCATACACCGTCTATGATCATCGCGCCCGTCACCTCGGTCAATGGGAACTCTCATTCGACGTGAGTTCGTCTCCCCTGCCGGTTATCTAGTTCTCGTTGTACCCAACCATTGCTGAATGATGGTCGATCAGCTGGTCTGGACTGGGCCGTCCTGAAGATCGGTCCAGCGCTCTTTCCCCGGTAATGCCCCAGACAGGTTGGGGAAGGCACGCAGACGCTCGGGAAAATCAAAAAATAAGCAAATCGTAAACCACAACCAGGAAAGCCAGAATTCAGAACTGCGTGGGAGGCCATCAATCACCTCATACCTCCATCATCGACCCTCATCAAAATGGCATCATCTTGGGGATTCCTTTCGTGTCCCCCCTCCGCCCTGGGCTCAACCTCCGCTTGACCGTATCACGCTTTCGGTCAAGGTCCATACGGCATGATTACCTACTACCACCTTTCTGCCTATCTACCTACCTGCCTACCTTGTAGATAACCACTGGTGACTGGTGATCATGGTGATTGCGTTTCCCGCGCAAATGATCAATAGCCTACAGGAGGTAGCTATCACATGGATTTTAAAGGGTGTCTCGCATTATCCGACCGGCGAGACAAATCGCGTAATCAGCCGCGCTTGGTCACCCACGGACGAGACATCATCCCGACTACCGATAGGGACTAGGTATCTACGCGGTCGCCTATCGAGGAGGATTGTTCAGATCATCCGCGATAGCCGGTGCGGAAGTCTGAGACGGGGAGGGGTGGAGGGGGAGAAATGGGAAGGGGCTGCTGTTCGTGTTCGTGATAGTATCTTACCAGTTACCAGTTACCAGTTACCTACCACCACCCCAGGCGACGGAACCCTCCCGATCATACTCCGTACAGCTTTACCTTACACTCCTACCGACACCCAACAATACGGGGCACGCACTTCTCCAGACCACACAGCCACTTCTTCAGTTCCAGTTTCTACTCCGTAATCCCTATCGACTCTAGCCCGCCCCACATTATTTTTTTTTCAACACGCCTTACCTGTTTGGACTCTGATTCTTCCCGGTCAGTAATAGTGGAATTTTTCTAACACACCGTGCGTGGTCCGAAGACTAGACGGAAGAAGCCCCGAGATAGGCAACAAATGGAGACCTTCGTCAATTCAAGGACTCGGTGCCATCATGATATGGGAAGGATAATAAAAGGGAAGGGAAGTATAGAGTCGATTGATGAGCCAGGAAAGAAAGTGAGTAAAAATATGTCAAGGAAAAAAATATACATTTTTTTTTTACACAAATAAAGGGTCAAGAAAGCCTTCGTTCCATCCAACTGGTAAAGTGACCGGTTGAAACCCCAAGAAGCAAAGCAGCCGATCTGGTTCAAGCACGTTCTTTTTCCCTTTCCTCTCAAGAGCCTGCTTTTTTTGCCCCCCGATATTCATCCCCACACAAAGTACATAGTCTTTTTCCTTTTTTTTTTCCTCGCTATTTTCCTTTTTTATTATTTAGGTAAAAATCATTTTTTTTTTCTTCGCGTTCCCAATTCTGCTCTCCGATTCCGATAAACCCACCCCCTCTACGACTCGCCCTCTTTTCCCTCCCCTCCCCCGAGCTCCGTTTCCTTCTTCTTCCCCTCCATTCCTCATTTCCTCACTCTTCCGATTCTTCTTCTTATACCGTCGTCTCCCCAGATCCAACTTCTCCAGATTTTTTTCTTCCCTCTCTCTCTCTGCTTCCCGAGACTATTCGCTCAACATCGGCTCGCTACTCATCCGGGGTCCATTTCCGATTCCGGGTTCACCACCACCATCACCACCACCACTATCATTACTAGCACATTCCGTATCCCTTCAATACTTGAAAGGGAATCCGTTGACACTCAACTACCGCTCCGCTCTGGTTCGTCATAGGGCCTGTGATCCTCGTTACCCTTGCGGGCTCCTCCTATCATCTCGCCTCGCCAAGGTTCGGTCTGGGGTACTAGCGGGTGGTGATCGACTGGCCGATATAGCTACCCCTGGTCGCGACGTGCATCACCGCCGCCTCGGCTTCTCATCCCTTCCGAACGTGTCTTTTTAACCCGGCTTCTGTCCTACCTTCACTACCCTCCTCGGAACTAGGACAAGCTTCACATGCCGCCACCAGCCTCTGCAGTAGATTTCTCCAATCTGCTGAACCCACAGAGCAATCCCGTTGATTTAACGCCTTCCACCCCTGTGGACAGCTCCAAGGGCCCTTCTACCCCGACCAGCGCACAATCCACCTCCAGCATGGCCTCATCCGTGAGCCTACTTCCTCCCCTCATGAAGGGTGCCCGGCCTGCGACCGAAGAAGTGCGTCAGGATCTTCCCCGTCCATACAAATGTCCTCTCTGCGATCGCGCCTTCCACCGTCTGGAACATCAGACCAGGCATATTCGCACGCATACAGGTGAAAAGCCGCACGCCTGTCAATTCCCCGGCTGCACCAAGCGCTTCAGTCGTTCGGATGAGCTTACCCGCCATTCGAGAATCCACAACAACCCCAACTCGAGGCGCAGCAATAAGGCTCAACATCTGGCTGCGGCTGCGGCGGCCGCGGCTGGTCAGGACAATGGCATGGCCAGCAACGCGAGCGCTATGATGCCTCCTCCCAGCAAGCCAATGACTCGGTCTGCCCCCGTCTCGCAGGTCGGATCCCCCGATATCTCTCCGCCTCACTCCTTCTCCAGCTACGCCAACCACATGCGATCGAACCTGGGTCCTTATTCGCGCAACAGCGAGCGGGCATCATCGGGCATGGACATCAATCTATTGGCGACGGCTGCGTCGCAGGTTGAACGCGACGAACACTTCAGCTTCCATGCAGGGCCACGCAGTCACCACTTGTTTAGCTCGCGCCACCACGGAAGTGGCCGCCTTCCATCCCTGTCTGCTTACGCAATCACGCACAACATGAGCCGCTCGCACTCGCATGAGGATGACGGCTATTCGCACCGCGTCAAGCGCTCGAGGCCCAACTCTCCAAACTCAACTGCTCCTTCTTCTCCCACCTTCTCCCACGACTCCCTTTCCCCCACCCCCGATCACACTCCCCTGGCTACTCCCGCTCACTCGCCGCGGTTGAGACCCCTGGGCTCCAGTGATCTGCACCTGCCATCGATCCGTCATCTGTCACTTCACCACACACCAGCTCTTGCTCCGATGGAGCCACAACCGGAGGGTCCCAATTACTACAGCCCTAGCCAAGGTCATGTCGGCCCGAGCATCACGGATATTATGTCCAAACCGGATGGAACGCAGCGCAAACTGCCAGTCCCCCAGGTGCCGAAAGTCGCCGTTCAGGATATGCTGAATCCCGGTAGTGGGTTTTCCTCGGTGACTTCGTCAACCGCCAATTCTGTTGCTGGTGGCGATCTGGCCGAACGTTTCTAGTCGACCTTTCCAACCAATTCTCTTGGTTTGTGTAAAAATTGGGTTTCAAAAAATCAGCAGTTCTTTATGCGCGCTACGACCGAATAGACTTGAGCATTTACAGTGGTTCATGGGCATCATTGGTGTCGGGTAATTGGGTGGTTTTTCTTTCTCAGCTCTGTTGGATTCTCCTTGTTTTTTTTTTTTTTCTTCCTACTTATGCTTTGTTGCAAGGCGTCACTACCAATAGATGGACGGGATATCTTGTGAATTATTTTTTTTTTTTTCGTCCCCCTGATTCTCCTCCTTGCCTCCTTCGTCGGGCTCGGTCTACGGGACCCTCTCCTTCTCCGCTACCCTATACCAAGCGAAATCGCTCTTCAGCTTTTGTTTTCTGTGTTCCCTCTTCTCTTCTCTTCGAGGTCCGGACCTCCTGCCTTAAGTCATGTCTCGAGACACAACTGTTCCCTAGCCTCTTGTACGCTGTGATTATAGACCTCAAGCCGGATGAGAGGAGTCACAAAATCCAAATAAGCCTTAATTGAGCAATCTGCGGAGTAATTCATCTGTAGCCAATCAGCGCATGTAGTTCGCGAAAGTACTTTGGAACGAGCCCAGCGGGCCGTCCGGTTTGTGATGAACTGCTGGACGCCGTCGAGGGGATGCGATGGTCGCGTGCAGAACCCTGCCTGGTCAATGATGATGTCGATCTCCGCGCATGATCCCTCCCCCACGGGTCAGCAGTCGTCCAGGTTATCTCGGCGACTGGCAGGGGCACTGCAGATTCGATATCCGCAGCCATCGGGATTGGCTCTGATGCCGAACTTCCGAAGAGGGCTTCTCGACCAGTCTGTGTCTCTTTCTGGCTGTCGGCGTGCTCCGATGCGTGGGCATACAGAAGATCCAAATGATGCAATCGATCTCCGATCGGCTGCTCGATGTGACCTGTCTCGGGAGTTGATTGATGGACGACGCAAAAAAGCAAGCAACGCTGGAGGGCAAGGCCGAAAAGCAAACAAGCCAAGTTGTTGTTGGCCTTATCCACCGAAGGGGATTCGCACACTCGGCCTCACTTCACCCACTCACCCACCCCGCAGAGGTAGGGACAGGGACAGGGCTGGAGAGGAGATGACTCGATGAGGGGGAGGGCTTGCTAAGCGACTAATCATCGCGACGGGGTCGCCCGGGTTCCCCTCCTTTTTGGCCGTCCTCGCCCTTGGACTCACTCCTTCTCCATCGTCGTCCATCTTGGCTTTTCTTCCCTTTCCCCGCCATGCGCGTTCTGGAGCCTCAAACCCACCATGGCCGGCGCTGAATTGCTCTCCACCTCTCTCCTGGCAAGGTTGGTCTTGTTGTGATGCTGCCACTCACCCAAGGGTGCTCTCTGCCTGGCCAGTTGTAAAATTAAATCACAAAAGGTAACCCGATAACTCTCCTCCATGTGAAACTCGCTTTCACGCCCATTACTCTCCCCGCTTGCACGGCCCAGTCCCTCAAGCAGGGGAATGGTGACTAGACCACGGCCATGACTGGCTCTGTGTCTTCCCTCACTGCACACAAACTAAGCATGTGGGAACAGGCTCTCCAGACGTCTTTCTCGGACACGATCGCATTTTGCTGCCCATTTCAGGGCGCGTTGGCGTCCCCTCAGTTATCAAGAAGGATTTCCATCCCATACGCCGCACCTGGGCCTTTCGATTCCCCGGGATAAAGCATGAGTGAAGGCGTCGTTGTCAATATGCCACCATCAACAGCTGTCCCGTCCTTATCGAATGACACTGCATCGGCATCGGCATCCTCGTCAAGCATCTCGTTGGACACAAGATGGGCGTCGGGACTTGCAGGCCATGAGATACTGGAGGATGATGGGACGGGGGCCCTCGTCGTGCCGGCCCACGCTGACCGTCGCGGCCCTTATGTCTACATATGCCTCTTCCATGTCCTAGACTGTCACGCCACTTTCGACAACACCGAGGACTGGAGAACCCATGTCTTCAGCCATTTCCGCACTCACGAACCTCCCAAGACAGCGCGCTGTCCTCTCTGTCCCGGTGAACGGTTCAATGATACCCCTGAAGCAAGAGCCTGGGATGTCATGCTGGACCACATCGATGTGGTCCACTATCAACAAGGTCAGACTCTGGCTGGCAGCCGACCCGACTTCGAATTGATGCAGTACCTGTACGGTTTGAGGATCATCAGTGTGGATCAATTCAAAGTTATGCAGCTCCCACCGCCACCATCTAGCCCCGCATATCATCGATCACAGGAATCGGTTCGGGCGAATATCGGGTCCTCGGACGAGCCGTATTGCGCGCCGTATAGTCGGCGACGAGAAGAGAGAATGCGTGGCCAGCGTCGAGGGGTGAGCGTCGCTTGATCCGCTGCGTGCTTGATCACAATGCAGAATGACAACGGCATCTCCATTTTCCTTGTCTCCTTAGGTGTGAACGTTTTGGCTTCTATTCCGGCATGTCTTTTTATGTTGATCGAATCGTGTATTATCGCAGATCCATCAAAATCAACCAAAATGGGTATCATGGGGGATGACATATGAATGCTTTTTCTTTCCTTTCAAATTCTTTGCTGCTGTGAAAGGGTTCAAGTTTTTCCAGTCTACTTCGTACTCGTACTGCGAACGAGATGGACTTATGTACGACTCCGCATTCCTTGGCAGGTTGCGAGTTTGCCGTCGCATAGGCCTTTTGAGATGAATCGCATTCCCCCCGCGTCACTCGTATGTGCAGGAAAAGGAGTGTCTAGGCCATGATATATGCCAAGAGACATGCTTTGATGTAACTCTTTGTTTTTAGCGGGGCAAAAAAAGTTATCTGGATTACTCTGCACATGGTTGCTGTAGACTATCCTATTGTACTCCTTAGTGCGATAGTATATATCACGGCACAGAGTACATTGGGGCCTGCACATTCCATGACACTAGACACAGTAGCGACCAAGAGTAAACATGGCCCCGTCCCTCAATGCAGCCCCAGAGAGCCAGTGAATAACATATTCCATTTCCTCTTATCACAATAGTAGATGCTAGATACATGGTCGATGGCGATGACGATGGCGGGCAGCCCGCGGGGGGACAAACAGGACAAACACCAGGTCCCTCGGCCGCACCAACGACTCCTTCCAACCTGCCGATGCAGCACCGCATTGCCTGGCTTTCCATCTGCATCGCCGCTGCTTCCAACTCGACCTCGCGGCATGAGTCATCCTTAGCTTTTATCCTAGAGTCCCAGAATTTTGCTTCCGAGCAGACCTCTTTACACACCTCACCCCGTCGCGCATCAATTGACGGTTTCACCTCGCCCCTCCAGTTCCCTTCCTTGATATCCAACCACCCCCACCCTCCTCTTCCGACAAGACTATGGAGCGCCTCTCGATCAGTGAGACCCCCGCGGGTGCTCACCACGGCAATGCGCCGCAGGGATTCCCTCAGCAGAACAACACGCTAGGACCTATGTCGCAAGGCCCCCCGCAATTACCGCCACAGATGTTCACCACGGCAGCCCAGTTGTTGGATTTGACAGATAGTGCGTTTTGCCCTCCATGCTTTATGGACCATTTGATCCATCCGTTTCTGTGGCGCACGAGTGGGACGGACCTGGTCTAACAATTATCAGAGAAGTTGGTTCTAGTTCTGCGAGACGGGCGGAAATTGATCGGAGTCTTGAGGAGTTGGGATCAGTTCGGTATGCGCTTATGCCACCAAGGATCCGTCTTCGGATAATCTGTTGAACCCCGACGATCTAACGACGCGATCTTGTTTTTGCTGCAGCAAACCTTGTTCTTCAGGATACCATTGAACGTCTCTATGCCGGAAATCTCTATGCCGATATCCCGCGCGGAATATTCCTCGTTCGCGGCGAGAACGTATTACTTCTTGGCGAAATTGTATGCTCTTGGTTTTCCCGTTTCGTGTCTGGGTTAGGTGACTAATAGGATTGCTTCCCCGCTACAGGACCTCGACAAGGAAGATGACATCCCTCCCCACATTCAGAGAGCGTCGTTCCAGGAAGTGTTTGAGCTGAAGAAGAAGGAGGATGGTGCGCGGAAAACCGGAGACAAGAAGCGCCAGGGCAAGCTACAGACATTGGGATTTGAGCCCGAGCACAGCGGAGAGATCCTCTTCTAGACGTGAAGTTCGCATTTGGTTTCCCTTTCATCCGCGACTACCGCGTCGCCTTGCTGTTTGCTAGAGGCGAGACAAGATGAGACACTTGGTTGAGTATGGTGGGCAATGCGGGTTCAAGCATCAGTTGGCACTTGGACCGTTGGATGCCCTCCGCGACCGTCGCCAGAGCCAGGCGTTGTCCGTGGGCTGACACGATGCGGCGATGTGGAGAAATGCAGAGAGCGCGAGAGAATATTGAGAGAGTGAAAGTGCGTGCGAGAGAGAGAGAGGGGTAATCCCACCGGAGGAGCTGTGGAAGGCTGAGCCGATCTGAACGAGATGTCAGGCAGGATTGACGAATGATGTCTTGTGTATGGACTGGCTGGGAATATGACACGGGGCTATATACTGACTGACTGGCCTGAGAGTGTGATCCGTATGGATGGGTGGAGGCTATGTTTTGACGATTGTCATGTCTTATTACGCTATTTTTTCTTTCTTTTTTTCTTCGCTTTACATTATACTCCATCTTATTCTCGGAATTGGACCGCATGAATGGAAATTGAGATGACCCTACTCCGTAGATGGAGCGTAGAAAGGCGCGGGTGAAGCTGGGCTGGCTGTTATCGGAGGTTATCGATAGAGGCCGCCAAGAATGGATGTACCTTTTTTTCACCTGCCCAAAAGATCCAGCCGGACCACAAAAAAAATCTCCGCATCCACCTCTTCTTCCCTCTTTCTCCTCCCCCTCAGTCAGTCCCAGATTTCCTGGATCTACTTCTCAACTGCCCGTCGGTTGATCGTCTCACCATGGCGACCCTGGCGGAGAAGCTTGAGAAGATTAAGTCTCCCAAGCTGCAGAATCAGCACCATGTAAGTCCCGTCGAATCCTCATCCGCGGAGTTCACCCACCCACCAACCACCACCACTATCATCATGGCATTCATTGCCTGCTGACGACCTGTTCTTTAGACGGCCGTGGTGCTGTCTGCAGTGGAAGACACTCTTCGCGATCAAAAGGCCGACTTTTCCCCCACCGCCTATTTCGCCGCGCTGCTTGCGCTTCTGGCCCAGTCCATCTCCGCCTCCCAAGGCATCGTCAACAAGGATCTAGCAACCTCCGTCGTTTATCTGCTCGATATCACCACCGCCTATGTCCCTGCCCCGATTCTCCGCTCCAAGTTCTCCCAGATCCTCACCAGTCTCGCCCCTGCTCTCTCCCTGCCTGAAGTCGATGCCCCGCTTCTCCGTCCGTCCATTGGCTGTCTCGAGTCGCTCCTCATCGCCCAGGACGTTCCAGCCTGGAATCTCCCTCACACCCAGATCGGCCCGCGCCGTGCGATGGCGGGCCTGCTGAGCTTGTCCGTCGACCACCGCCCCAAGGTGCGGAAGCGTGCCCAGGACGCTTTGGTCAAGGTTCTCAAGACTCCCCCGCCCAGTCCTTCCCTCGATCACCCGGCTGCCGATATGTGTGCGGAGACCGCCATGCGTACTCTGAGCGACAGTGTCACCGCTGCCACAAAGTCAAAGCGTGGTCGGAATGATCCCCAGGCCAGGGAGAGCCACGATCCGTTGGTCATCCACTCCCTGCAACTGGTGAAGACGATTGCGATCGCGTCCGGAGGCTGGCCAAGCAAGAAGATCGAGCCGCTGTGCGAGCTCTTGATGAACGCATCTCGCTCCAGTAACGAATTCATCACGATGGGTGCTTTCGAGGTGTTCGAGGTGATCTTTTCCAGCATGGCCGACGAGTTTTCGTCCTCGAAGCTGCCCCGTCTTTTGGAGGCTATCACGGATTTGAAGCCCGCGCAGAACGATTCGCAGCTACTGCCGCCCTGGATTGCCGTGTTGTCGCGTGGTTACGACGTCTCTGCTCAGACTAGCCCCGAGGATACCTTCGAGAAGTTGCCCGCTCTGTTCAACATGGTTTCCGGCTATTTGGCCTCGCCTTCTAGCAACATCCGCGTGTCGGCATCGGAATGTTTGGTCTCGTTTTTGGCTAACTGCATCCCGAGCAGTGTCATCATTGAGCCCTCCGTCTACGATGAGAAGATGCTCGAGAAGTTGGCCAAGGCTGCCATGGATCTGCTTTCCGTCAAGTACCAGGCTGCATGGCGCGAGGTGTTCAACGTCTGCGCGGCTTTGTTCGACAGCTTCAAGTGGCGCTCCAGCCCCTTCCTGGACGGCGTTGTCAGGACGGTCGGAGAGCTCCGCAGCAACGAGTCTTTCCAGGGAAAGAAGGAGGCGGACAATGTTCTTGGTAGCGCTATTGAGGCCATGGGCCCTGCTGCAGTCTTGGAGATCCTGCCCCTGAATATCATCGAGCAGAAGCAGGGCCAGCCTGGTCGCGTTTGGTTCCTCCCCGTGCTTCGCGACAACGTCACCAACACTAACCTTGCCCATTTCCGCTCCGAGTTCGTTCCCCTCAGTGAGGCCCTGTACCACAAGGTCATGGACTACACCTCCCAAGAGAAGAATGTCGAGGTGAAGATCTTCGAGACTCTCGTTCAGCAGACGTGGGGCATCCTTCCTGGGTACTGTGAGCTTCCTCTGGACCTGATCGAGTCCTTCGACCAGGGCTTTGCGGAACTGCTCTCCAATGTCCTCTACAAGCAGACCGATCTGCGTGTTGACATCTGCAGAGCCTTGCAGAACCTGGTGGAGTCCAACCAGGCCATCCTGTCCGTCGAGGCGGATGGCGACGACCTGATCCTCCAGCGCAGAATCACCAAGGAAGCCGCGAAGAAGAACATTGGCCATCTTGCCGGCTTCGCCAGCAACCTGTTGGCGGTTCTGTTCAACGTGTACAGCCAAACGCTCCCGCACTACAGAGGCTACATCCTCCAGTGTATCAATGCCTACTTGAGCATCGTCCCCGAGAAGGTTGGTTGCCTATCCCCGATCTACACCTTGCAGTCTTGCTAATGTTTTTACAGGAACTTAACGAAACGTTTGAACGTGTTAGCTCGATGCTCGAGTCATCGGTGGTCTCGGAGACCGAGGCAGCCAAGCAGGGCAACCAGCAGACCGGCTCTGGTGACAAGATGCCGCCCAATTCGCACACCCTGATTGACCTGGTCATCGCAATGTCGATCTACCTGCCCCGCTCGAGTTTCGCGAACCTGTTTGCCCTTGCTGCGGCCGTCCTTAGCGGGCAGACTGGTGATCAGCAGCTGATCAAGAAGGCGTACAAGCTGATCCCTCGTTTGGCCCAGACCGAGACTGGAAGCGCTGCGCTTCGCGAGCGGAGTACGGAGCTTCAGGCGCTCATGCTCAACACGGCGGACAAGACCCCAGCGTCGGCTCGCCGCGATCGTATGCTGGCTATCTACGAACTCATCTCCTACCTGCCGACTTCCGACCTGCACTTCATCCCCTCCGTTCTCTCGGAAGTTGTCTTGGGCTGCAAGGAAAGCAATGAGAAGGCCCGGACTGCCTCGTTCGATCTGCTCATTCACCTGGCCAAGAGAACCACGGACTCGGAGCAGAACCCTCCTGGTACCAAGATCCGTAACTCTCTTGTGCCACACATGCCCAACGACGCCCCTGATGCTCCCGCTACGATCGAGGAATTCTTCACCATGGTGTCTGCGGGTCTGGCTGGTAGCTCGCCGCACATGGTTGCTGCCTCCGTCACCGCGCTTTCCCGTCTGTTCTTCGATTTCCACACCCAAGTCCAACCCGCCGTCCGCTCCGACCTGGTGCAGACAGTAGAGCTGTTCCTTACCAGCAACAACCGTGAGATTGTCCGGTCTGTGCTGGGCTTCGTCAAGGTCGCCGTGGTCGTTCTTCCCGACGAAGATCTTCGCGCGCGCCTCAACTCCCTGGTGCCGAACCTGATGGTCTGGAGCAAGGAGCACAAGGGCCGTCTCCGCAGCAAGGTGAAGGGTATCCTTGACCGTCTTATTCGGCGCTTCGGTGCAGCTTCCATTGAGGAGCTGGTTGGTGAAGGCGACCGGAAGCTGGTGGTCAACATCCGGAAGCTGCGCGAGAGACGCAAGAAGAAGAGAAAGGAGGGCGAGCTGGCGGGTGAGGATGAGGACGAGGACGAGGAAGAAGAACCCGCAGGAAAGGAGGACAAGGGTGGTCGGGCCTTCAACAACGCCTTTGACAAGGCCGTGTACGACTCCGACTTCGACTCTGACGACGACGCCAGCGAGATCGACGTCGACGAAGAGGGAGTCACTCATGCTTCCAAGGGCCGCAAGGGCAAGAAGGCCAAGCAGAGCGAGCAGTACATCCGTGAAATGTCTCCCGAGGACAACCCTCTGGATCTGCTCGCCCCCAACGCTCTGGCCAACATCTCCACCACCAAACCCAGTGTCCGATTCCTCAACACCGGCCCCGGTTCCCGCAAGAAGCGCAACGCCAAGGTCGATGCTGACGGCCGTCTTGTTCTGGGCGATGACGCCGAGGATGTGGACATGTCCGCTGGTCTGGACAACAACGGCGGAGAGAGCGGCATCAACGCCTACGTTCAAGCCGTCAGCGGACCCGACGCCGTGCGTCGCGGCCAACGCGGTAAGCTCAGGATGGCTCAGTCCCAGAAGAAGAAGGGTGGCGATGATATGGACCTGGACGATGACAACGACAACAACAACAACAACGCCTCTGCCCCTGCCTCCCGGCCCGGCCCTGGCCGTCGTGGTCTAGGCGTGCCCAAGACCCACGGTCCCAGCGGCGCCGGACGCATCCAGAAGCGCAAGCCCATGCATGGCGGACGGGGCGGACGGGGTGGACGAGGCGGACGTGGCGGCGGTTTCCGCGTTGGCAACAGAAGATAAATTACCTCCTCACCTTACCCTACTCGCAAATTACTCTCTATGAACCCCTACTGAACTGAATCGAACCAAAACGAAGATCCCAACCAAGTCCATTGATTCATTCATTCATTCAATCATATTCTCCCTCCTACCCCAAAAGCAATCAAAATTTCAACCCTCACCCCCTTAACGGCATGAATACCAACCAGTCAGCCAATGAAATCCAGTTCTGCACACCCTTCTTCCCCCGAAGTTCACCATCACCATCATCATCATCATGTTACGGAGTACGACGTCCTTTACCAAATTCGTTTCCTCTTCTCTCTCTTTCTTCCTGTATCTGCTGTCTTGTTGATAATCTATGATCGGATCTGAATATGTCATCCATATAAGTGGATCACTTAAGTTATTCATTCTTATTCTTAGTTCATTCTAAAAATGGGTAGTTAGTCAGTTCTGTCTGTTATTTAGTTATCGCCGTTTCTCATTAGGTATCTTTATATACCCTTTTTCATCATTGTTTTTCTTCTTCCTTGTTGCAATTGTAATATCTATTTGTTCTTAATCGGGGTCCTTTGGATCTAGAGTGCATATATGCCTGACGTAATGGTGGTTGGTTTAGGGGTTTGCTGCAATTACCTTTTTGGGTATTATGTAGATAGAGGAAATATCTAGGTAAGGTACAGGCCGTGTGACCTGGAGAATGATTGGACTTGATTCCGATCCGATTACGTATGTGGTTTGATCGGTCAGATTTAGTAAGAGGGGCGGGTTCTGGACTGGGGTCGGTGGGCCTTCTTCAATCGGCTTCGGAGGTTTTCTTCTTCTGCCCACGTCAAACTACACAGCATGTCGAAGAATGGTCGGATGGGATTTTCCACTACTCTCAGTCTGAATGACCGCTCAAGTCGACATGGAGTGAAGAACAAGAGAACAACGAAATATGGGTATCAATTCTCACTCGGTATTGTATGAGTACATGGAAAAATATAAAAAAGAGCTCCCTCGCCAGCAGACCGATTAATCCAACTCCCAACCCGTCCCTCGCTCTCTGAATTCGTGACGGCGGTATTTTCTCTCTACGATATGCCGTGAGTCATGGACGATAATGATGGCAAACTCCCCGCGCCGGCAACCAATATCCCAACTCCGGAAGGATTCCTCGAAAACCAGCCCGGTGACTGGATAAAGAAGGTCGAAGAAAAAAAAAGAGTGAAAAGGAAACAAAAAGCATGTGACTCCTCAGGTCATTCCACATATCCCAAACGTTGGTATCATGCCGGCATCAAACAACGGATGAAAAGCAGAGCTAAGCGAGCGGCTTACGGGCCTTGCCAAGCCATATCTGCCACCACCTGCAAACTCCAAGAACGGCGGCGCGGCCGTCATCTTTGCGCTCCGTGCCATCTGGGTTGCCTAACATCACGGCGAAGATCCAGAAAAAGGCTGCAATCCAAGCGAGGAGAAATACGGCGATGGAGAAAAAAGGCGATAAGAGCAGTACCATGAGAAGACCTCCGATGGAGTAGGAGTCTATGGACTCTTCAACAAACAATCCTTCCGGGTCGTAGATTGGCTGAGTCGATGACGATCTACTTGAGGACTGTCGCAAACAGACCAATCTTTCATGAATATGCAACTGGGGTACCAGCAAGCCACAGAGCTGTGCACGGAAGGACGTGGCCCGGAAATATGGAATGCAGGAACCGATACGAAGAGGCGTCATTATGAGGACGAAGACGAGGCCAAAGATGGTGTAGAATGCCGCACAGAAGGAGAATACGGGAACGGGGAGGGAGAGTCGAAACTAGGGTCCAGGGCGGTTAGCTACGGGCCGAATGGCTAGGGACACGGAAGATCAAAGGGAGCTCACCACCATTAACAGAGCGTCCGGCTCCTCAGGCTCCGGGGAGATGTCATCGTCATGGACCGCTCGTTTATGCACGCGGGATGCGCCATTGGGATGGTTATCGCCTGACATGTATGAAGAATGATCGGTCCAACTCCCACGAACACGTCCTTCCTTGCGCACGGCCTCGCTCGTAATTGAAGCTCGGGTCAATATGGAGCCGTTCTCGAGATAAGGCGAAGAAACCGATGTCTCCGGGGGCACCGATGCCTGCCCAGATTCAGCATAGATGTGCTCAGCGCGCTCTTCGGATCGATATGACAGACTATGCTGTCGTCGAGAATGAGAATGAGGTGGCTGGAAATGCGAATCGGAGTGAGAGGTGTTGAGAGGACCGGGGTGGTAGTTGGAGTCTGAGGGATAAGAGGCCTCCTGGGGCGATGACAGTAATGGTAATTGCGGGGGAAGATGTGCTGCAGGAGGAGCCGTGGGAGTTGAGTTCGGAAAATAAGCTGTCACGAGGTGACTATCATCGTGATGATGGGCAGCAGGCTGGGACATTTGCGGCTGCTCCATTGTGGGCGGAGTCGAGGAAGGGAAGTGGGTAAAGACAGGCACCGGAAGAGGGAGAGGGAGAGAGAGTCGGTGGAGCAATCAATCAATCAAGGGCGCAACAGGAAGGTGAAGACCCCCTTGGGAAATGCCGCAGCAGCAGCAGCAGCAGCAGCAGACCAGCAACACAAGGTGGGACGGATGTGCACACACGTACACGAGATAGTACTGTGTCGAGGTAGAGAGGGAAAGCGCAGCGGCAGGGATGAGTTCACCGCATGGCTTCAGGTGCAAGGGGGCATAACGGATCTCCAAGGCATGTACACTGAACCGGGGGGGTGTGGATGGGGGAGGAGAGGGGGGTTATGGCTTATCGGACAGCAAGGGCCAAGCGGAGAAGGGGGCAGCAGAGCAGCCAGAGAGGAGGAGGAAGAAGAGAGAGGGGGGAGGAGAGGAATGGAGGACGGGCAGGAGCGGAAGGGAGGGCAGCCAGAGACTTATAAGAATGCCATGGACGACTTTTTTCTTTCTTTCCCAAGACAGACGACGAGCGGAACGTCCAAGAACAGGAGCGACGACCAAGAAATCGAGTTCTGGTCTTGTCCCAGGGCAGAACTGCAGCGGAAAGGGCAGGTCTGGTTTGGCTACTTTTTCGCCGCCAAGACGCCCAGCTGCCGAGCCCTTGGCATGGGCAACGTCAAGAGACTGTCGCGTCCAACACCATTGCGTGCGAGGGTCCCCAGAGTTGGCGCGAAGGTTTGGAGAGGAAGGTGTCCCCTGGGTGGATGAGGGACGGACGGGGGGGGGGGGGAAATTGGGAATGGGTAGGAGGGCGGAGGAAGGATTGAGGGAATGGACACAGCCCGGAAGGAAGGGGGTAAATGGTAGGTAGCGGGGGAGGAGTCGGGGAGATAGATAGTAATAGCAAACAAACTTGATCGAGGGAGAGGAAGAGCGAGGGAGGAACTAGGAAGAGTAAGCCAGATCCATCTCCATCTCCATAAATTCCTCCCTTTCCCCCCCTCCTCTTGGTGGAAGGAAGAGAGTATTTCCCTGTCCTGCCGTGGTCGTTCGTGATGGTGGGAGAGTTCGTACTGGAATTTCGGGTCCTCGCACGCGTTGCAGTAGCGATGTTACCGTATCCGTACCGCGTGCCAAGATGCCAAGCCCCTGCGGGGATTTTGGTGAACGGTCAACTCCCGCTGATTGGCTGGCAGGCGCAGAATCGTGTCCGTGATCCGCATTCGGAGGTTGGCTGGTTGGCTTGGCGGTATTACGGCCAGATCACATCCAGCATAGTGCTGACCCCAGCCATACCAACCTGATACGCTGTGAACATGCTGAGGATTCTCAACGCCACGCTTGGGCGACGGCAAAGGAGATGAAGGGAGGAGGATAAGAACTAGGCCTCCACCACCACCACCACCACCGCCAGGGGAGATCATCTCACTACTGCAGCGTCATGACAGCAACGGTCAAGCCGAACCTCGGGAAGGCAGTGCTGACGCAAAAGCGTGGCGCCCAGGCCAGCCCCGCCGGGAATCTGGCATCATCCCATCGAGCCGTATAGCCGGCTTGGGCTTGGGGGGTTTTGGCTTCGTGTCCAGCTGGTCGATCCAGCAATACATTAGGTAACCTGATGCGCGGTGGCGGACCCCACGTCTTGATTCTTCAACATGCCGTGCTACTTTATCAACAAATGGGTAACCCATCGTTGATCCTAAACCTGCCGACTCGGTCAGTCTCACCCCAAACCGCTTGTTTCGAATGAATTCGACTGTTGCCCAACCGGCCCTCCTCCTCGTCTTCTTCCAGTCTCTTGCTGCACCGCTTCCGGCTGATTACGACGACTCCCTGACTTAACCGACCTGGTTATTTTGATCCCGCCGCATGAATCGTGGCAGGTACCTAGGAGGCATGTGCTCGTGATGGGCATCATCATGGCCAGGACCGATTCTCCCGTTGGTTCATGGCCGCCCGCGAGATCCAGACAACTCTTGGCTGTCACGCCCAGACTTCGGGTGTGGAAACTCTCCTGCGCCTGTAACTCTTGGCCAGGGACAAAGGCCGGTCCCGCGGCGTAGACATGGCTTCCATGCAAGTTTCACAAGATGATATTGGATGTCCCCTGTGCGACGCCCTCGGGATGCTACAAGGTACAGGGTAGCACTGTGCATATCTATCTTTCCATCACTCCGGACGGCTGAAACCATGTGAATCACTCCTCGTTGAACTCTTTCCCTAGGGTGCACAAACGCCCAGTCACTGTCTTCTTGTCCTACCCTCCACGCCTGGAGTACTTGAACGCCTTGCCGTTGTGGCTTATTAACGTTGGTAGTAGGATCTATAGTGGCGGCCTTGAGATTGACATCAAGGTCGCAATTGTCGTGGTTCTCACCGACCCGACGGGGTATCCGTAAAGGTACACAGGCCTCTTCTACGTTCTGGACCCTGACGACCAGAAACAGTTGATACGATATATATGTCCGAGCCCTCACCACCACCACATACCATTTGGCATCGATCACTTCGCCTTGCTGCTTGGAACACCCAGATCTTTTGAAATTGTTCAAATAAGCATGAAACCGACGATCGAAGCCACCAGAAAAACTTGCCAAGACTTTGCAGAGTTCTTAAGAGGAATGACGGACGACTCTGGCTAAACACTTCATTCCGATCCACGGAACTGGAATTCCAGCGAAATTGCACTGACTGCTGAGTACCTACTGACAGAGCGAGTAAATGCCATCACATGTTTGGCACTCGTGACTCGACACATTCAAGTGACCCACCTGCAAGGAGTTGATGAGGTACCTAGATAACACATCAACTTTTTATCTACCCCCTGCGTCCCGTGAAAAGGTGTTACAGCAGACACTAGTCCATCGGCGAGTAATAGATGGCCAATTTCAGCATTGTATGATGAAGTGGCTGGCCATTTCCGGCGGTCCTTTGCTTTTTTCATCACCTGCATATTAAGTCATCGACCGCATCCAGTGGCCTATTGTTTCACCGGGGATCAGGTGAACTCCCCGATCCTCGCCGGAAAAGACGGCCGCCCTATGGACAGGATATACATTGTGCCATCAGCCAAGCCAGGGGTTGGGTCCTTCTAGAAGAGAAGGATGTCACTTCACATGTGCCTGTCAAGACTGGTCTGTTTGGTCCGACCAGTCCATCCGTGTCGATCGACTGCTCTAGTACTTGGTAAGGTTACATGGTTCTACCAAGTGTTTGCAGCGATGCGATTAGTTTGCACTCTGCTAGAATTACCTAGTAGTTCCACTGTAGACATCTCATCCCTTGACTCTATACGGAATGCGGACGGAGTATACCAATCATCCAATCCAACCATATATTATCCACAACCCACTCCCCCAAGGTGATGATGAACAAGTACCCCATGAAATGACCTATCATCCCCAATCCCACCCTATGACGTCGAACTACCAAATCTATATCCCCAAGACCCAAATTCCAACCTCTCTCTCCCCCTACCTATGAATAGATAATACCTGCCAACAACATGATGCTGCAAATACAACTCAATGACCTCACACCCCCCCTTGTCCCTTACAGACACCCCCCCCCCCAAAAATCAAGCTCACTCCACGATAACCGAAATAGAAACATCACAATAAGGTTCCTGCATCTATTCTAGACCCAGATGATCGAAATCCACCTTAGTAAAACAACCCCCGAGCCAACTGAATAATAAAAATTAAAATTGGATTAAGTAAATAGGGATAGGACTGCCTACCCACTTACTATAGAAGCTAATTATTAATTTTATGTTCGTTGTCGCGCTCCACAGACGGATCGAATAATGTACTTACTTACCTGCTTACTTGGGATGATTAATATTACTACCTAAGGAGAAAGGTAGGTAAGTAGGCAGTGAGTAGCTCGGGGATTTTCGCCCTAAATTCATCCTAGTACTCATCCCCTTTCAAGATGACCTTCTACCCTACTTTACTAGGTAGGTAGGTAGGTAGGTAGGTAGGTAGGTAGGTAGGTAGTGTGTGGCTATCTATAGGGAAACTAGACTACCGTCTATCTATCTCCATCCGGCGTAGCGTTCCATAGAATCCCACGAATCTAGATTCCACCACAAAATACGAGTGCTAGTCGAGTCTAGTCCCCTGAATAACAAACCTTAGGAAGATTTTGGCATATAATTAGGGTTATTATTCTTGGGTCATTGTTAGGTCAGTGGTTCATGTACCAAAACTGACTAGTAACTATATACTAGCTAACCTTACTACTGTGTATGTATGTATGTTGGGGATCATGATCATCATGATGAAGGTCGGGTCGGATCGGATCGCACTTACTCATTTCTTAGTAAGAAAATGGGGGGGGGAAGGGTGGTGCTAATAGTACTCCGTAGTTAGTAGGGGAGGGGGGGAAGGAAAGGGTAAGGCAACAAGGCAGTAATGCAAGGCATGCGCCTTGCCCGTAACCCGGAGTCGGAAGCCGGGCCATGCCGAAGTGACATTTTCGGTTGGGTCGGGTAAGTTGGCACACCTAAACGGGTGGTCTGTGCCTGAGCGTGGGTATTGGTATGTGGAATGTGGTATGTTTGCCTGAGGTGTCGACCTTTTACATGTCTACTTTGTGTGTGGGTGACAATCTGCGGAGTTGGGTGTAGACAGGTAAAGTAGGGAGTAACGAGGTGAGTAGGTAGGTATATATGTAGGCTTATCTTGCTGGAAGCAAGATACAGATGAGGATGACGCGACGCGGCGGGCGCACAACCTCTGTGTGCGTGTGTTTGTGTGGTGTGTGTAGCCCTCGTGAGACACTGACAGGGAGATACACACCCCTACATATGTAGTACATACTCCGTACAGATCCTTCTAGGTAGGATAAGTAGGTAGTGAAAGGATTGTGAAAGCGGCAGCGGCAGCAACAGCAACTAAAGAGTGGATCGCATGATGTTGTGTAACGTTGACAGTAAAATGGGGTGAGGGGAAGAAAAGGGAAGGGAAGGGAAGGGGGAAGCTAAAACCGAAGGCTGCCCCCGGCCGGCCGGGAGGGGAGGGGAAAGAATGGGCCTGGCGGTTTGCCTACCTGCCTCTGCCTGCCTTGAGCTTTTTCTTTTTCCTTTTCTTTTCCTCCTATTTGTACGGATTGCCGGGGGGCGGTTTTCTAGCGCTGGGCCCTGTGCGCAGTGGGCGCAGGCATACATACATAAAGTCATCGAGATCGGCCTGTCAAAGGCGTCGCATGGGTGGGACGAAATATGTACGAGGTGTCGTGGAATCTCAAAGTTAATTTCTTTCCATGTAGGGATCTGTCGACGTCTCTGTGCCCTGCTTGGTTCCTACCCATGCGGATATCGGTGTCTGCCTGTCGGGCTGTACATCTGTACGTCTGTACATATGGCCCGGGCAGGGTGATAAGCTGCAGCTGGAAACAGGCAGGGATGGATCGATAGTATATCCTGTCCGGGCACTATCTACCTGACTTAGCGTGAGTACATATGTATGTGCATGCATGCTTGAAATCCCTTTCTTTGTTGGTGCGTTCTTACGTAGTGCACCACGTTGACAAGAATAGAACACTGAACACCCGAGAAAGGGTTGGTGTTGGTCTTGTGAGTTGTGGTGCTGATGGGAATTGGGATAAATCTGCCCGAGTAACCCACATACCGACCACATTGTCAATGCATTGTTTGTGCTCCCGTTGTCGTGTTTCAGGTACATTGCTGGGCGGCATTCATCAGCGAATTCGAAGAATGGGTGGATACTGGCTCACTGGGTCACGGTGGATGGCAGCTCCGGTCGGCCGGCTTTTCGATCTGCTACTTACTACCTACCTATGTAAGATGGAGGGAATCTGTGCCTTGCCTCCACTGGGCTGACCTTGACTGTCACAGCTAATGTCACCTCGTCAATGTGACGGTTTTATCTCAATTGTGATTTACTACTTATAAAGTCTGACCCCATCCATGTGCGCTTGTGCTGTTCCCCCATCTGTGGATACTATATATACGGGGAAGAAAATAATTGTTTTCGGAGCGGTTTATGAGGTACTCGGATCCGACAAGAATAGGGGGACTCCTTTACTTTACATCCACCAGTCGGTATCTAGGTGCTCCTTCCGGTCCCATATTTAGCTAGTAGCCTTCCGACGTTGGGACCCTGATATGGCAAAGCCGCAAAGGTCCCAAAGGGGGAGGGGGTGGCCGACCTAGTAGATACTGCCTGGGAAGTGGTGGGTTAGGTGGCTTCTTGTTATTTTCGTAGTCCCGTGCGGTTGCTACCTAGTTGGTTAGTGTGCGGAAGGGGTTAGTTAAGTCATCAGGTGGAAAGGGAAGGGGTGCGAAAAGGGAAAAGGGAAAAAAAAAAAAAAGAAAAGCGGAAAAGAAAAGTGGGCGAAAAAACAAAAACAAAAAAAAGACAAAGGATCGGCCCACCCAGGTGATGTATCAAGATCATCGACACCAACAGAAGAGCCGACGGATCAGCATCGGGAACGGCCCACCCAAAGGAATCCGTTAAGAATCTGTGGCTGGTGGCTGGTGGCATTTTCCCATGCGTGGGATCTGCTTAGATAATCCTGCCGCTGAGTCCCGCGGCTGAAGCCTCTGAACGATCCATGACGGAAGGGGCAAAGCGAAGAAAAAGCAAATCCATCCCCCCGATTTGCTGCGCTACGGGCTCGTCGGGCGCCATTCACACAATGATTTCGATCCAAAGTTAATTCGCCCTTTGTTGCCCCATTTCCATCCAAAAAGTGGGCAGTCGAGGCACCTGCAGACCGCTGAGTACAGTCGGCAGTATGCAGCATTGGCTGGCCCATCTGATTTGGCAGATCGAAGGGGCCATGATGGAAGAGCCAAAGAGGGGGTTTGGTTTGTGTATTGCTTACTACTACTCGGCGGCGCCTCCGGCAGGACCTTGGGGCCGCACATTGGAGCGTGAACTGCAGAGGGTCCTACTCCATCTGTACGCAAGTGCATGTATTGTCCGGCACCGAGGAGGAAAAAGAGGAAGGAGAAGGGTGGACGGACAGTAAGCAGGCCGTTTCTGGGTGAGCCAGCCAGTGACTGGGGGCGACTGCAACATTTGGACTCTGCACTTTGCAGGTGGTCCGAGTGTGGAGTACGCCTCATGCCTGACTAGACGGCCGGGAGCTTAGGTGGTTGAGCTTATGGCATACGCCAGTCAGATAGCGCAGGATGTCGGTTGAGGCCCCACCGCCGCAGTCAGGAATTATTGGCGGCCCTTCGTACAGATGGCACTAATTTATTATTATTAAATACGGTGCACTACTACATATGTAGATAAATAAAATGGGCACGGGGAAGAGAGGTCCGGTGGGTCTGGGTTCCATGGCCCACCTGCAGGCCCTCGGCGAGTCACAACCGGGGGTTCGTGCTAGATTTACCACATCCCCCCATCCCTGGAGCTGCCTTCCTGGCTCCGGCGCTTGCATCCTCGTCAAACACTGCCCTGTTTCGGGGCGGTTCGACTCCATCCCCACTAAACCTTTCGTTGAACCCGTCCCGACTCCCATGATACCCTAGTCGAACTGAGGCTACGGTCCATAGTCCATCATCTTTTTTAATTTGCTCCCAACTTAACTCCTCACTATCACATTGGCCCCGCCTGCCAACAGGGCGCTAAGCCCATTTTTCAAGTACAATCACACTGCAAAGTTCACCCCTCATTAGATAGTAATTCACTGGGTCTCCCAAGGAGGCAGAAAAAAAAAGGAAAAAAAAAGTGGGAAAAAAGAAACTCTTCCAAAAATAAGGAGTTGCCCATGATTCAATCCAGCCGGATGCTATGGGGTACATATGTATGTCGATTGTCATAGGTATTAAGCAGAATTCTTTTTTCTCTCTAATTTTCCCATCTCTTGCTTTTTTCCTTTGTACTATGTACATAGTAATCAAATTAAATACCTTGTTCCCCTTCCTCCCCTGGCTAGCCGATCGAGTCAACAATTTATGTGTACACGATATATGATCAATCAATAAGCGACAAGAGAAAAGAGTTAAAAAAAAAGAGAATAAATGACGCCGCCTATCTGCCTTACCTTCTTGTGCCGTGGTCTGCAGGACGCTGGTGGTAAGCGTAGTTTGGGTAAATGCATCCCCCGGCGCTCACCTGAGTTCCGGCGCCCGGAAAATATTAACTGTAAATACCCGCGGACACGACTCCAGATTGTCCCCACCCGCTAGGCCGTTCCTGGACGTAAAGCTGCCTGTCTTCGGCTTGGCGCCGGACGACCGCCATCTCAGCTTTTCCGTGCTTTCCTTTGGTTTCGCTGACTGCTGGAGAGCTGCACAACCACTAGCGCCGCTTGGCAAATTTCGCCCTCTACCACCAGCCCCTCGACCTTTCCCTCCTCTCTTCTCTCTTCCTCTCCTTCCCTTCTCTTCTTCTCTCTTTCTCCTCCCTTTCCCTTTCTGCTTTTGCCTCCCCTGCCCCGTAACTTGTTGTTGATATCCCATTCGGATCTCAATTCCCCATCCCTCACTTTGACTTAACCCTCCTCTCATCCTCCCGTCGCTTTTGCTTTACTCTCCTGCTTCTTAGTCGTGCCGTTCAATCCTTTGCCCCCTTCCCGCTTGGCTTACCTATACTCTCCACACGTCATTTTGCTCCATCTCCAGCCATCCAGCTGCATTCTGGACTTGATTGACCGTGCACGTTCTTTGCCGCTCGCATATCCGCATATTCTAGCGTCATCTTGTCACGAACGCCAGGAATTGTCACGTTTCGCGTTCCTCCAATCCAACTTGCCGTCGTGACGACGTTGGTTCTAGATTCGCTTGTGCGGCAGTTATCTTGGGAACCTTTCCCGGACGCGGTCGCGCTTGTCTGAAGATCATTGGGTGACTGGTTTGCGCGACTACCTCCACCGGGGACTGTACGACCTCTCAGTGACACGGGCGGTCATTGCATCATTGTGTCGCAAAGTTTATGGGAGCGAAAAGCTTCACCACCGCCGAGATCTGGTTGTGTTCCGTTTTGGGTTAACTTCAAGCTGCCGCTATGGCCCATACTCAACCCTCTCCCACGGGAGGCGTAACTCCTCACCATGGGCATATTGCAGCTCATCCACAGGTCAACGGCCACCTGCCGTTGCAGCCCCAAAGCCAGAAGGGCCCACCTTTGAGCACCGCCCAGAAGATCGCCGCGCTCAACGAGCAGGTTTGGCTTCAAATTGGTAAGCAGATCGCTATCCTAGCTCGTCAAGCTTGCGGTTAGGTGACTGTCGCTAACGGGTTTCACATAGGGGGTCTTACCGAAATGATGGGCGACTTGGAAGGTGCCACGAATGCCTACGAACAAGCTTTAAGGCACAACCAGTGGTCAATTCCGGCCATGAATGCGATCGCTTCTATTCATCGGACGAAGGAGCAGTTCCCAAAGGCGATTGAGTATCTTCAAAACATTCTCAAGTTGGATCCGACAAGTGGGGACACCTGGGGCAGTTTAGGTACTTTTATGATATCTGTCGCGATTATGAAATAATCGGCTAACGTTGCTCTCCAGGCCATTGTCATCTGATGATGGATAATCTGCAGGAGGCGTATACCTCTTACCAACAGGCGCTCTATCACTTGCGCGACCCCAAGGTCAGTGGAATCACATCCATATATGCGGGACAGTCGACTAACGATTTTGGTAGGAGCCCCGGTTGTGGTATGGAATCGGTATCCTGTATGACCGTTATGGCTCGCTGGATCATGCCGAAGAAGCCTTCTCCCAGGTCATGCGGATGGCCCCTGAATTCGAAAAGGCCAATGAAATATACTTCAGGCTGGGAATTATCTACAAGCAGCAGCAGAAGTTCGCCCAGAGTTTGGAGGTATGCTAAAATGGTCACGGTAATGTTTGCGGTCTCTTGCTAATACTCTTAAGTGCTTTAAATACATCGTTACCGATGCTCCTCGCCCATTGACAGAGGAGGACATTTGGTTCCAGATTGGCCACGTCCACGAGCAGCAGAAAGATGTAAGCAACTTGAGAGGTCTGCACTACAAGGGTGTGGTCGCTAATGGATGGACAGTTCGAATCTGCGCAGGCAGCTTACAGAAGGGTGCTTGACCATGATCCCAATCATGCCAAGGTGTTGCAACAGCTTGGATGGCTGCACCACCAACAAAGCAACAACTATGCTAGCCAGGAGAAGGCTATTGAGTACCTTGAGAAATCCGTCAGCTCTGGTACGCTCTGCCCATGATTTGCATCGTGACTGTGCTAATAAGCTCTTAGATAATGGCGATGCCCAGAGTTGGTATCTTCTCGGTCGTTGCTACATGTCGCAGGCCAAGTACCCCAAGGCCTATGAAGCTTATCAGCAAGCCGTCTATCGGGACGGTCGCAACCCGACCTTCTGGTGCTCGATTGGTGTACTCTATTATCAGATCAATCAGTACCGGGATGCGTTGGATGCTTATTCTCGTGCTATCCGTTTGAACCCCTATATCTCGGAAGTGTGGTACGATCTGGGAACTCTGGTGAGTCAATCTACCGATGTAAGTCCTTGTGGAAGATGGCTAATGTGCTTGTAGTACGAGTCTTGTAACAACCAGATCGCCGACGCCCTTGATGCGTACGGTCGGGCTGCTGATTTGGATCCGACCAATGTCCATATCAAAGCGCGCCTGCAGCTCCTCCAGAGCCAGTTGTCAGGTTCCAGTAACAGCAACGCCCCGGCTCCTCAGCCGCAGGATGTCCACCCCCAGGCTTATCAAGCTCCTGGTGTCGGAGCGCCTCCGGCGCCTCAATGGGGTGCACCAGCGCCAACCGGTGGTCCACCCCCGCAGGCTCCCGCTCCACCAAGACAGATAGCTGACTGGAACCGTGGCATCAATGAAATCCAGTCCCAGGCCCAGGCACAAGCCGCCAATGGTTTTGACCCTCGTGATGTCGTCCGTGCCGCTGCCTCTCTCCAGCAACCAAGCCCGCGACAAGAACCGGGACGAGGCTTCCCCGACGCTGTGCGTGCGCAGCCCGGCCGCTCCCCGAAGACTACCCTCACCGGCCCGAGTGTTTACGCGCCTGCCCATGCTCTCCCCCAGCTTGCCAACCCCCCCGCTTCCGCTCTCGATCGTGCTGCAAGTGGCGCTACTGCCTTCTCGCCGGCTACCCGTGGGCCTTTGCCGCCTGCCCCTGCCGCTCCTCCTGCTCCCGGCGGTCCAAATGGCCCTGCTTCGGCCAACGCTTTGCCTCCCTACCATCGTCCGTTCAGTCCTCCCCCGGAGGTCAGACCCTTGCGTGATGAACGCCCTTCCTCACCCGGATCTACCTATCCCCACCAGCAGTACCATCACGGCCCTAGTGTCCCTGTGCAGGGCGGCAGCGGTGGTGGTATCGCAGGCGGTGCGCCGCCACCGGCGTCTGCTATTAGTGCCGCTGAGGCCGCCGCCCGTGAGCGCGAGGAACGTCCTGGCTCAGCTATGAAGCGTGGTAGGGAGTGGGAAGCGGAGGCTGGACCCGTCAAGAAACTCGCCAGCGAAGAGACCCGTGCCCGCCTCGACGACCAGTTGTCTCGTCGCATCACCCCACCCAACCGCATGCCGTCTCCTGGGGAGATCCAAAGGCGCAGCTCTTCGGAGATTCGTCGTGAGGACCAGCGTCGTGTCAACGAGAACTATCATCCCTCCGAGGCAGCCCACCACCCTCCTACCCTGCCTTCCATCCAGCACATGCCCCCTCATCCGTCGGGCCCTAGTCTCCCTCCCATGGCCGAGAGTTCTGCTGCGGCATCCAACGGACCTCCCTCGGGATCAGCGTCTGCTCAGGTTCAGGTCAAAGAAGAGCCTACCCGTAGCGAACAAGGTCCCGCGCACGAGCCTGCGGCACGCAAAATGGATGTGGATGAGAACTACGATGATGACGATGATGAAAAACGAGCTGGTGCTGTCGTGAAGGGTAGCCCGCACGCCAGTGGGTCGGGCAGTGCTAACAACAATAGCAACGGGGTCTTGAGCGGCGGCAACCCACCTACGCCGGCGAAGCCCGAGTCTACGGTTTAGGAGCCTATGTAGTGCGACGCCACTTGCTGTATTATTTGAGGTGGATCGGCCGGTCTGCCCTGATCTAAGGAAAGAACAGCCCGAATGAAACCTTCGTCATGAGAAGTTACCTTGTCCTTCGTTTTCGCCCTTCCCTGTTCCCTTGGTCTCGTCTATATACTTCTCTCCCGACTTTCGGTGGCAGTTCCGTTCCTGCATTGTTTTTACCACCAGAGCTTGTTTGTATTGTAGGATTGGCATTTATGGGGCGGTCTTGATGGTCAGCTGTTGTCTGTTCCCTTCTTTTGTGTGTGTATGTGTGTGCTGTGCTGGGCGGTATGTTCCTGAGCAGCCTGGAAAATTTCAACATATTGTTTTACATTTACTCTACTCCGAATGTCTCCCGAGCATGTTGAACCATGAGCTAGGCAACCGAAATTCTGGCAAATTTCTGCGGAAGAAGTTGAATGTAGGCTACGGGCGCCAAGTCTCACCGTGCGTTTCAATCGTGGGGACGGTCTGGGTCTGGGACTCCGGTGGATGGCGGGCCAGGTCGGACAGTGGTCACCGTATCGTTCACCAACTAGACCGGGGGGAGGGGGGGGAGAGCTAAGTGGTAGTACCAAGTTACAGGCACTGTGGTTATTCGCAGGGTGGATTAGGGGGACAAAGATGGTCCCGATGGGAGGGGGGTGATTATTATCTAGGTACCACCCAGACACGGTCAAGAATCATAGCGCCGACCGACCGACCGACCGACCGAAGGCGAGCGACTAAGAAAGAGTGAGTGGGTGTGTGGGTGAGCGCGTGACCCCAAGGTGTGCAGCCTGAGGCAGGCACATCCGACTCGGGCCCAAAGTCGCTTAACCCAAAGGGGAAATGTACGCCAAGACTTCGCTTAGATCAGCCCACACTCGTTAAGCGTGCAAAATACGACTTCCGGCAAACTCAGAGATAGACACTCTCACTCACCACTTCGACGACTAACGACAACAGGGTCAAGATGTAAGTTGGTCCCGCTGCAACAAGGCAATGTGCTGCTCAATGGAGCCATGTCGCTGATCCGATTTATTTTACAGGAGTCACCGGAAGTACGAAGCGCCTCGGCACGGTTCGTCAACCTACTTTGCGACCTCGCAAGCGATATTGGAATTTGGAGGTCTTGTGTGAATGGCATACTGACATGGACTTCGACAGGCTCTCTTGCCTACCTGCCCCGCAAGCGCGCCGCCAGACACCGTGGAAAGGTCAAGAGGTTAGTTTGGGATCACGAATCGACTGGGAATTTGAGGGCGATATACTGAACTGTGCGACAGCTTCCCCAAGGATGACCCCAAGAAGCCCGTCCACCTGACGGCCTCCATGGGTTACAAGGCCGGTATGACCACTGTTGTCCGTGACCTTGACAGACCCGGTGCCAAGATGCACAAGAAGGAGATTGTCGAGGCTGCTACCGTCATCGAGACTCCTCCCGTACGTGAAGTCCCCGCGAAGAAAATTTTTTCCTTCGCCTGGTTATATGGCCGTGTCCAATGACTTACCTGTATATTTCGTCTTATAGCTTGTCGCTGTCGGTGTTGTCGGTTACATTGAGACTCCCCGTGGTCTCCGCTCTCTCACCACCGTCTGGGCTGAGCACTTGAGCGACGAAGTCAAGCGTCGCTTCTACAAGAACTGGTACAAGAGCAAGAAGAAGGCTTTCACCAAGTACGCCAAGAAGCACGCCGAGGAGAGCGGTGCCTCCATCACCCGTGAGCTCGAGCGCGTCAAGAAGTACTGCACTGTCGTCCGTGTCCTCGCCCACACCCAGGTCCGCAAGACTCCTCTCAAGCAGAAGAAGGCCCACTTGATGGAGATCCAGGTCAACGGTGGCTCCGTTGCCGACAAGGTTGACTTCGCCCGCAACCTGTTCGAGAAGCCCATCGAGATCGACAGCATCTTCGAGAAGGACGAGATGATCGATGTCATCGCCGTCACCAAGGGTCACGGTTTCCAGGGTGTCACCTCCCGTTGGGGTACCAAGAAGCTTCCCCGTAAGACCCACAAGGGTCTGCGTAAGGTCGCTTGTATCGGTGCCTGGCACCCTAACCACGTCCAGTGGACTGTTGCCCGTGCTGGTCAGATGGGTTACCACCACCGTACCTCCTGCAACCACAAGGTCTTCCGCATCGGAAAGGGCTCCGACGAGGGTAACGCCTCCACCGAGTTCGACATCTCCAAGAAGCAGATCACTCCGTAAGTCGACCTGATCGAGTTTGCCATCTCTACTTTTCTTGCTAACCATTCCCTCCAGCATGGGTGGCTTCGTTCACTACGGTGAGGTCAAGAACGACTTCGTTCTCCTTAAGGGTTCCGTTCCCGGTGTTAAGAAGCGTGTCATGACCCTCCGCAAGACCCTGTACCCCCAGACCAACCGCAGGGCCACCGAGAAGGTCGAGCTCAAGTGGATCGACACTTCCTCCAAGTTCGGTCACGGTGCTTTCCAGACCCCCGAGGAGAAGCGTGCCTTCCTTGGTACCCTCAAGAAGGACCTTGTTACTTCCGCTTAAGGTGTTTATGGAAATGTCGGTTCGGTGTAGTGCAAATTATATTACGTTTCAATAAAAGCGCAGAATACCTTTCACGTTGTCCCATAGCGATAATTGTTTTGGGCTAGTTATTGACGTAGCTACACGATAATGAGGAGTTGATTTGAGAATTAATACCTGGCCTTGTGCATATGCATAGAATCATCATGTACTCCGTAGAGAGACCGTAGAAGACATGGTAGGTGCGGAAACTCTACCTGCAAATTTTCGTGGCTCCGATGCTTGTCCCGGCAACAGCAGGACTCAACCATGCAGGATCCATCCATCCACCTCGAGGCCCCCATCGCGGCTCCTGTTCTCCGTCCCACTATTACTTCCATTCTTCTAGAAGCTCCCTTTCCCCTCTCACACCCGTTTTTCTCCCAGCACCAATCAGATGAGTGCCGCGTGCCTGCGACGGTGGCCGCTCAGCCGCCCTGGCCATTGCGTCATTGATCCCATCGTGCCTTGGGCTTCAACTTCCTTCTCCTCTTCCACCTTCTCCACGACTCATCTCTCCGCAGCCCAGCTACCGCTGCGAATCATCCAGACTCACTACTCCTCCCACTACCATCACCTGTGCCCATCTCAACGCCGTCTTCCAAACAAACCATCCGTTCTCTCTTCCACAACAAGACCAACAACCCACATCACCCCTCCTTGTCCCACCCTCACCACACTCACCACCCGCACCATGTCCTCTGACGACGCCTACATGTCCTTCCTGGATAAAGCCAACGCTGACCTCAGCGCCGGCCAATCTCAACCCGCCACCACGACCTCTTCGTCTGCACGCACCGAAACCATCCACACGGACGTTCGCATCCCCACACCCCTCACCTCCGTCAACGCCTTCTACATCTCCGAAACAGACGAGCCGTTTGAGCCCGTCGCCTTGAAATGGGACGGTGCTGCGAGGGGTATCTGGCCTGATGCCTGTATGTTACCCCCTCTCTCATTTTCTCTAATTCCCTAAATCTATGTTATGTGGATGATAGAGCTAATGTGGTATAGCTCACCTTTCCAAACTCATCTCACCGGATAAGGATCTCTCCGCTGAAATTGAGACCTTGTCGCCTGCGATGTTTGATCCCCGGAATCACTATGCGGGGGTGTTGAAAGCCGTGAGGGCATCGGCGGGAGATGAACAGGGCGCAGATATCAAGGTTTATCGGGTTGAGGTGGGAAGCTCGAGGGTTGAGTATTTTGTTTTGGGGTTGGATGTAGCGCAAGGGCTGCTTGTTGGGTTGAGGGCCAAGGCAATTGAGACTTAGGTGGGTTTATTGTCCATCATGTGTATTTCTAGGGCTGAGTTGTGCTGTGCTTGTGGTTATGAATGATGACCTTTCGTTATATGTGAGGGGTATGGAGGCTTGTTTGGTATCTGGAGGTTGTGATAGGGTTGGTTGTATATGGGAATGCTTGTATGTAGCATGGCAATACATGGGTTTTCTGTTCTTGTAGTTGATGTGGCTCTTACCAGTAGCATCTGGCGTGGCGTGCAATACGATATGAAGCACTAAGGCACTGTTAGCACATATACTCTTGTGAGAATGGAAAGAAGTGCACATCCTCTGCCATAATATAAGCCAGCCCTGATCATTCCCGCTCTTCTATCCTCAGTGATGGTGATTTCTGTAGAGCGTCAGCCACAAGAGTTTCAGGGTAAAAGGGAGACAGGCATCTATAGTCCTATCTGAGAGCATTGGCACTCTCTGTCCCAGCACCATTGTTCACCTCCGTCTCGTGAAGCACATCGTAAAGTGGAGCCTCACCTCTTTTCACCTCTTTTAGCCTCGTCATAACAATTTATTCACCTCGTCAAAAACAAGATAAAGCCCACTATGTTGACGTGTTTGATGACCCCATAACCCTCAGAGTTTTCACTCTCGCTCCCTCCATGCTTTCTTCCTCACCACCATTACAGCCTTTCTTTCTGAGGGTTCCTCTCTCAACCCTCCTTCTCAACCCCTTCATACCTCTCACAATCATCATTTCCAATACCAACCATGACCGAGGTCATCATTGCCACCGATGCCTCCCACACTCCGCACTGCTGGATCTCTCAAGACGGGACTCCCAGCGACACCACCATCCCCATCTCCACCATCATCGAAGACCCCTTCTTATACATCTTCGCTTTCCGCAACGCCCACCACCTCTTCGTCAGCTTCGCCAGCCAAACCATCTACAACTCCATCACCAAACACGCTCGCGTCATCCGTCTCTACATCCTTCGCGAACTCCAAGTCATATACCCTCACCGTTGCGTTTCCCCGGCCACTCCCACCGTCACCACCCCTACCTCTACCACCAGCGACAATAGCGAGGCTTCCATTCCCCCCTGTAACAGCGACGCCATCCTCCCCAACCTTGAAGACATCATGGAAAGATGGCGCTTCGCTTGTCGGGCTATTCCGCACGGTCACGATATCAATTTCGTCTGCTTTGAGCTCTCCGCCCCGGATGGTTGCGTGCCGGCTGGTATCTGTCGGATGTTGCAGATCTTGAGCACGGTGTTGAGTATTAAGGAGAGAGAGAAGGGTCGGTTTCGGTGCGGCATTGAGGGATGTGATCGGACTGCGGCGGAACGGTTTGATCCGTGTTTGGTGGGCAATGTGGCTATTGTGGGGTGGTCGTTGGAGGATGATTGATTGATTATTTGATGGATGGGTTGAATTGGATTGGGTGGTGATGATGATGATGATGATGAGATGTTCTGAATTGAGGATGTAGTCGACTTTGTGGATATGTCTCTTTCTGTCTATCTTTCTTTATGTTGTTGCTCTATGAGAGTGGATTACACATGGCAGAACTGGATTGTGATGTTATACTGCGGATGGAGTCAGCTTTCGATCACTCAATGTTAAATAGCCAATGATTAATGGCTGAGTGGAGTGGAGTGTGTGATTTGTTCTGCCAGCTTGGGTATGAAATACGGAGTACAACTGATATTGGAAAAAAAAATGAACTTACCATTGTCTTTCCCTCTTTCTCTTTTCGTCTTCCTATAGAGTATAGACAGCGGTACAGTTCAATAACGCAGATCATAAAACTAGTGATTTGATCAACTCTGCAAGGGTCCTGGACAAATATAAACTCACTCATATCCACACCCACACCCACACTCACATCCCCATCCCCATCCCATACATATCAGCTGTACATAACAGAACTCCTCCCCATGCTACTCTCCCAACCAAACCCAACCAACAAACATACACATACAAAGAAAATAACCAAAAATAACAAGAGTCATAGATAATACTCCATACTAATCCCAAGACACGGGTTCTACCCGGCGCTATCGAGAACGAACTTTGGTTCAACAGGATACATAAAGAAAGTTTAATGAAAAAGGACTCACTTTCTGGAGAAATTACTAGTTGGGTGGGTATATATAGGTGGTGGGGGTTATAATGGGAAGGGAAGGGATGTATTGAATGGGTGAGTGAATTGGATGGCATTAGTTGTATTTGTCTGTCACTTGAGGGTTGATGGATTGGGGTTCTGTGCATTGGGGTTTGGGTTTGGTGAATTAGGGAGGAAGGTGAGTGATGGATGGTGTATAGAGTAGTTAATTGTGGGGGGGTATTGGATTGGGGGGTTATCTTTTGTTATTTGATTGGATTTTGGAGGGTTAGGGGTGAATTGAAGCTCTTAATGATGGTGGTGTACAGGGGGGATATATATTGATCTTCATAGTGGCCCGAGGGGGTTAGTAGCACTCATTGTGGCAAGGTTGTGGAACAGTAATGGATAGTTGTATATAGTTTTATACAGTTCTTAATTAATCATAATTATTATAATTATTAAGAAATTAAGATTATAAACTATCTTAAATCTCTTAGTATATAGTATTAATATACTTTATAAGTAAAAGATAATATTTTTATATTTACTTTATTTTTTTATTACTTATCTAAGATTTT